TGGCTAATTGGATATCAATTAGATCATTTTATTCTGTATATAATGTGCAGTTTATTCAGTGGGGCACCCTGTAGGAGGAACCTTTTAAATGTTTCATTTCATTCCTTTCAACAAATCATACTGATGAACACAAGAAATGCAACATTCAGTTCTAATGGATTAAGTCAAATATTATAAATATGGATATGAAAGAAAATGGAAAAATCCTAATACTTTTCCAGTATGAAACCTTGACAAGATGCTGTAATAAAGAAGACAGTGACGCCTTCTGTTTAGAGTGTAATGTGTAAGACCTGCACAACTTAGCAATAAACCCTCCAGAACCTGTCCTGGTATCTGTAAGTAAGTGGTAAGTGTCTGTCATGGTATGTTCAGAGCCCTGGAGCCACTTTACCTTATAGTGCGGTTGTCGTATTATTTAGTTTGATTTTCTCTGAATTATCCATCGATCTGTTGAATCAGAACGTCGCCAGACAATGCCTGTCACAAACCGGCCACCTTCACATGTGCTGATAGCAACCAGGTGATCTTCATTACTCAAGTGGGGCATGTGGATATATACTGTATATATATTCCACTGTTCTTGTATTAATTAAAATCATGCCTTTTAGGAGGTCTATTTATACTCAGACTGAAATGTCAAACATTGGGCATCCGTTGTTTAAATACTGTATAATCACATGACTAGAGCTCACCATTTTGTTATTTGCTGAAATATGCTACGTAGATAACAAATACGCTTATGTCCTCACATAAATGTACAGTAAGTAACATATGGCCCCTTGCAAAAGTATTCAGACCCTTGTGCGGTATTATTTCTCAGACACTTGTAGTCGTGATACTTTGAAGTATAAATGAATAGTTGTTATATAGACAAAATGCTCCATGCATTCAAAATCGAAAAACAAAACTAAATAGATTATAATACAAAAGGTTTTAAGATACCAATCATTGTATTAGTTTAGGTTACATTTACCTTTCTATTTTATAAAATTCAAACATTTTAGTTGTTGTAGTTGTAAATAGAATAGTTTTGAAAAAAAATATTTGTTTTCTTCTACAGTATCTTATGACATTTTAGTTACACTACTAAATAAGAACCAAAAGATACACTGATCAGGAACATACTTGGGTTGTGAATTTAATAACAGTGTTCTGTTTCACGAATTCTTAAGGCTGATGTTCAGCCAATTATTAAAGTATCTGATTATATTTTGTGATGTATTTCCTTCAACTATAAGATGTAATTGTTTATTGCTGTGAAAGTAGAAAGGATCTCCTGAAGCAGGTTTCCTTTTTACGATTCACCACTGTATGCAATGCAGAAATGATGAAAAATGGAAATGCCTATCTTTAATTTCAGACGTGCACATTCATTATTTCAGATCTTGCAAAGCTCCAAAGTGCTTGACAGGTGAAGTGGTGCTGAGTGGACAAGAGGCGTGTCTTTCTCTACTTTCACTGCAAGCCTGCAGGTCTGTGGTGACTCACAGGAGTTGTCATTTGCTATAAAGCTAAGAGAGTCCTGACAAATCCTAGTTGTACATTGATGGCACTCAGCCAGCCAGTTACATGTATTTGCCCCTGTATTTGCTTTTATTAGTTGACACATTTGGGGGTTAGGTCTAATCCAAGGCATTGTTAACCCCTCCTGCATTGGACTAACTACAGTGATTAAGGATTGTACATGTACTTCTTTATTATCCAACTTATGTATAGTAGCACTTGGTGCTAGGCTCCTGATTCCCTGAAATGTTTTCTAGTGTTGAATAGATTTTAATCACCCCCCTCAAAAAACATTTCCTAGATATGTATAATTTGCATTTGTCCATACCTCCATGATATAATGTTTGTAATGTTAAGTTCCTTATGTCTTTTTAATCTGTATCCTTTTTCCCGATTAACACTTTCCTTATGGTTTTATGTGCTAAAAACCAAATAGATTGTGATGGCTTGATGGCACAATATTATAGGTTTGCTTTATCGTATCGTTTTACAGCTACAGTATGTGTACATTTTAGAGACAATATACTGTGCATCATATTGGAAAGTGCTTCAGGATTTATTAGAATACATAGTTGGAATTTTAAAGTGTTTTTTTTATTAAATGGGGTGAAGACTGGATGAAAGAGGTCACGCTGGCCATTAAACAGATTAATGTGCTGTGTTGAGGGGGAAAATGCAATAAACTTAAAACTACCTCAAAGGTCTACTTGAAATGAAAGCAGATCAACTAACAGGATGTAATTCAGAAAGGTAATGTCTGATAACTGCAGACAAGATGAATTTCGGTTGGCAGTCCTGCAGGGTGTGATATGGTGCCGGCACATTTATGTACATTATTTATATCCAGTAATGAACATTATAATGAAAAGTGGACCAAACTATAAATATGACTTGATAACATAATGTGGTAGGATAATGGTCTGTACAATTAAAGTGTCTTACAATTCTACGTTTTGGTCTTTAAAATACATTATTTTTGTCTTGCATTTGATAAAAATGCTGTACACAAGAGTAGAAGCCTTCACCAGAGCTCATGTTGTGTAAGTACACCACTCATTATGGAGTAAGATTAATGTAGATTGAGAATAAAACAAGCATTGTCCCTCCGTGCTGTTGCGATTGTCGGTGCTTACCATATGTTGTTGTCTTTTTTAGCATTTGTTTAAAACCAAACTGATGCTGTGCTTGAGGGTTTTTTACTGTACAGGGTGCATCTGGGTACTAGAATGGTTGCACAGAGATGTGTGGCAGACAGCTTCATAATAACCACTCGCTTGCTAAGAAAACATTTCTTGACATTAGAGTGGACAATCTTGAATGAAAAAAGCAACCTTCCATCCATTTTCGGATTCTTCTGGTTGAAGATCATGGTGGAGTCAGAGCAGCAACAGGCACAAGGCCCACACTGATACGCTCACACCAGGGCCAGTTTTCCCAGTAGCTAATAGGAAAGCGGAACATCCAGAGGAAGCCCACGTGAGCACAGACAGACCATACAAACTCCACACAGACAATGGCCCAGGCCCAGAATTGAACCAAGGGTCCCAGCGGTGCAATGTTAACCACGGTGCCACCATGCAGCCATCTAAATGAAAAAACAGTTCTTGCTAAATCAAGAACTTCATCAGTATTTACTGTTATAAATCTCGATTACTCCAATATGCTGGTGAAAGTACCAAAAATATTTCACAATTATCTTGCCAAAAACATAGTGCATTCCGAAGAATTTGGCTTTGACACATTTGTTTCTAAATTAGGCCTGCTGCGTAGTACAGTGTATTTTAGGAAATACGTTTATAGGACCTTTTCTTTAGCTTTTATTTCTAAATGGTGTTACAGGTGGACTTTATCTGTTAATATCAAAAGCAGTAAAAGGATTTTACTAAAAACCATAGTTTAAGAAAAAAGTCTAAATTTCAGTTTTATTTCTGTCATAAAGGATTTGAAACCATATCTCTGCACCATCGTCTACACTCAGTAAACATGGGGCTTATTCAGTTTTAGTTACTTTCCGTTTTTTTTAATAGAGAAAATCTCTTCCTTTAGTTTTTAGTATTTTGTTTCTTATTCAAGGAAGATTAGAAACCACTTATAGAAAGTCACTTCAACATTTTATATTGTGCTTGTTGCTGGTAAATCAAAAAAGGAACAGATGTATTGTACCCTCAGACTTCTTTAACTGGACTTTGAGTCCAGCATGTCATACACTCATGTGCTTTTCTGAGAAATTGATTCAGGAGACTGGTTTCACAATACTGTAAATCAGTGTCAGAGAACTTTTTTTTTCTTCTATTATAAGATCTTATAAAGCACTAACCTAAAAGTAATTTTGCCTTTACGAATTCTTATGAAATGTACAATATTACATAGAGCCTATTCAGTTTTGACCCCCCTCCCCTTTAATAACACAAAAATAATAACTGAAAGACTTTAGATTAACATCTGAGATTGTAGAGACCAGAAATCATTCATTTGTATGGGTGTTACAATAGAATCACACCATGACAAACACTGTATTACAGCAGGATTGGAAAGACTGACAGCTTTAGGCAGCTAAACATAATAAAACAGAGTGAATTTAGCAAAGTTGTCCTGTTTTATGGTTTTAACCATTTAACATGCTATTTAATTATTATTAATACTGGCCAATCCATTGATCATTATTAAGAGTGTGCGTCAAGGTCAAGGACAATGAATGTGCTATTTTCGATGACCAGAGATGTACTGGTTGGGTTAATTAATGTTTCTGAATGGTCTTTGGGCTCTTGTATGTATATGTGAGCCCCATGATGGACTGTTGACCCACCCTGTCTTGTGCTTTATACTTCTATGATAAGTTCTTGGTTGCCATGACATTTATGCTTTGGATGAGCTTTATGATAATGGATGGTTAAAGCAGTATTCCTTGTACACAAAGATCTTCAGAATTGTGGCAGCTGAAAGCACTATTAACATTGCATCTCTTTAGCTAATTGGTAGAGAAGAATAAAGTAGTGTTCTGAAAGTGAATACATATTTCATGTAAATGTGAGTGGGCGAGCAGTGTGTTACCTTTTATTAATATACAAATCTGATTAGCAGCTGGGGGAACTGTATGGAGGATCTAGAAATCAATTTCCATTTGAGCCCTTGAAAATCAACAGCTCATGGAATGAATCCATGGGTAAATGGTTTAACAGATGCTTTATTCATCTGGGGAATTCTCAGAGACACAGAATTGAAAAAAAATTATAGGGTCTCCACACAGAGTAATAAGCAAAAAATAAAACTGAGGAAAAGGGGATTATGTATTCTGTTCTTTCTTCTGACTGAGGAGTTCAACTTCTCTGATTGCAATCCAGTGGAAATGCTTCAGTGTGATCAAGCAAAGAAAAAAGCCTACAAGTACGCAACCTTTAAATAGTAGCTGTCATCAACAAATTCTTTTTCACCCTCCAAGGACAGTGTAAAAACAGTATTAAACTTTGATAGAGTACTGATGCAGCTTGACTTACATTAGTAGTACAAAGGTATGAGCCAGCTCCTGTTCGGGTCATTCTGCACCACTTCGATCTCAGAGATTCTTGGTGAATCCTGGGAAAAAGTGAATAATTACTTCTTGACTATAGGTCCCAGCCAGCAGTAACCCCAAAAGTACTTCTATTTAATTTTCTTAAAAAAGAACACTTGTTTTTAGGGGGGTAGTGCTGATAACAAAAGATCTTCCATAAGACACTATACTGTACTCCCCAGTACTGATGCAAAACTTTGACAACTGTTTTACAAACCACATAGTGCATGCCAGACATACAACTACAGGCTTGACAAATACCGTACTGAAAAGAAATTAATCTTTCCTCAAATAGAAAGGTTACACATCGCTTTGGACTAAATTGACTTCCAGTTCCTTTAGGAACTGAAAGATTGAGGTTTCTGTCCTCAAAGGGTAGACACAAGTTGTAAGAGCTTAGTACATAAATAATATCAATATTTTAAAAGGACAAGTAGAAATCCAGTTAAAGAACCCAGAAGCGATGCAATGGGATTGTTGGAGATTTTGTATTATGGTTTATTACAAGTTATACGTTGGAATTCTCTTGTCAAATTGTACTGTGCCATGTTTATCATTTTGAATCAGACTTCCAGATTGCCGAGTTTAAACATTCTTGTAATTCATATTGAAAAAGCTACATATTGTTGTTCTGTGGAAAAACATACTTCCTATCTCTTGACTTATGCCCTGTGACTTGAACATTTTTTAATCTCCTTGCTTTTCAGTACATACTGTAGTTAAGATTACAGCAAGGACACTGTGGATCCAGGTTGAACACTGTAATTCTCGAGATGTCAGATCTAGTTATACAGAGTGATTTCTATGTGACCTACATTTCCGCTCAAAGCACTGGTTGCAAGCAGTGTTTCACAATTATTTCTTTAATTCATTATAATTTTCTAAATGACAGGGTACTGTGATTGTAACATCTTGATTCTATTCTTTCTCTTCCAAACATTTTATAGGGGACAATTTCCATACACAGTTTTAAAGTCTAAGAAGAATTTCATCACACTTTTATATCTCTAAGTTGAAAAATATGTCCATTACCAATACATAAATATTCAGTCATTGTTGCTTATAAATTCAGCATATTCTAAGTTAAGAGAGAATTACACCAAAGACTAACATCCAAACAACCAAGATTGACCAGATGTATATGCTGATAGATACTGCTAAATGTTTTATTAGTCTGTGAAAGTATTTTCTGAATCAAAACTAAAAATCCCTGAGATATATTTTATCAGGGCACTTCTCCATGTTCTCCATGGTTTCATTATGTTTTGAGAGATTAAGTTATTTGACTTAGATTCGGTCTCATGAATGTTTGCTTTTTTTGTTGAGGTATATTAATTTTGTTGTAAATGCATTTTTAAAACAAGAATATGTATGTGATGGCTTTCATAAGCCTTGCAGAGAAAAAATAACTGTGTACAGTAGCTGTGTGTGTACAGTATATATCAGATGGGCCACCTGAAGCATCAACTACTAGAATTAATTATAATATAGAATATATAATGTATTAGATATGGACAGATACTATATTATATACACTGTACAGAGGGTTTGTGTAGCATTACAAAATTTTAATATAAATAAACTTGAAATTAATTGAAGCACGGATTATTTTTCTGAAAGAGGCAAACCTGGGCACTGGGCTGCGAGTCTCTTCATTAACTACGAGAGACGGCTGGCTTATCATGTTAATTGTAGAGTCTTCTTCTCAAGCAGAGACGTTCTCCTCTCAGGTGACATAAAAAATGGCTTTGTTGCACTTCACTTATCTCATGAACTTCCAGCCCTGTAAAAACTGACCAATGGCAAATGTGCACAACTATAATTGAAGTTCCCTTCATGAAGACTCCTTTTGTCAAGATAGATTATGTAGAATAAAATCTGCATGGAATTAATTACTAATAAATTAAAACACAAACAAAAAACAAGTCATTTTGAGTGGCACCTATGACATAGTGTTTTGGCTGATTGTGAAGAGTGCAGTTTAAACAGTTTGTGAGACTTGTATACTTTCAACAGGTGTACGAATTCGCTCCCATTTCACTGATTCAACGCGGATCTGGCTGTTAATCGTCGCAGGAAACTGGAACAAGGTGTTAGCGTTTAACACTCTGTAGTCTGATGAAACTGCTCGACAGTCAAAGTCACCATGTGTCGAAGTGTGTTGTTAGTTGTACGAGTTTGATATAATTGTATAAAATACATTTCCATACCTCTCACTCACAAAAGGTAAGAGGCTATAGAGAATTCACTGCTGTTCTACGTTAAATTTCTACATTGTAAATAAATTACAAAATGTTATGTTGCGTTAGTTAATGGTCTACACCCTGGTGAAAGATTAATTGCCTTTTTAGGAGCCCATATAGGATTTCTATTTTTGCGGTTTAACATTGCAAATAGTCCGTGTTATATTTTGTTTTATAGTAATGATGGTGTTGATAAATTATGGAAAAGTATAACTTTGTCTAAGAATGTTTGGTTTACATTCAACGGGTGTTTGAGATAGGCATATTTTTTCAGTATAGTTTGTATAGCAGATGTCCTGTGAACTTTAAAAGTTAATCAGTTTCACCTTATTGACCGTTGTTCTGCAGTACCTGTGCACTATCGTTTATCACAAGGGGTTGTGACATGAATCAATCTTACTTTATACTTTAAAATTGAGGACAGCATAAAGGAAAAAAGCTTAGAAACTTTAACGCATAATAATACTGCAGTTATCCATTGACATTTTAAAACGCCAAATCGTATTAATGCGTTTTAGATATTAGAAGAAAAGAGGAACATTAATTCTTTGGGCACATCGATATTTACATTTAAGTTAAATAACTTTTTCAACACATACGTCTCAAACGTGCTGTTTCCAAGTCTTGTTAATAAGTGTGTTAATACTGAATATTTTTATTAAATCGACTTTGATATGGTCATTTTTAATTAATTGCAGCAGACTAATAAAGACAAGGCTATTGGGCAGTACTTTACAAAAACCTTATGTAACAGAGAGAGGACAATCTTATAAGCACACTGCAACACCATTTTCAAACACTGAGTTGTTCATCACTTTCAGAGCTATTATACTTTTTACACCATTGTAGAGAGCTAGACTCCTCTGAAGCATATCTTTCTCCTTTGGAACTGTATCATTAAGAGTTTCCAAGCTCTTAACTAAACTGGCTAAAGTCATTCAATCTATCCTCCATTCTTCAACAAGTATTTGCACTTGTGCTTCTTTGTGTTCCTAAAATATATTTAATCATCCTGGAGGGTGCCACTGTCTGTTTTTCATTCCATCTGTGCGCTTATCTGGATCAATATCAAAATATAAAGAGTTTGCAGCCCTTCAGATGTGGGTTGTACACTCCTGTGTTAGAGAGAACGGGTTCTTCAATACATTTTTAAGAGCCCAAAACGCTCATCTTAGTGTTGTCTTATCTAGGTGTTAAATCAACTTAGGTGTCCTCAGCGCCCTCAAAAATCAGCTCATTTTTTGAGATTTTCTGATTTTCTTTCTCATATTAGAGAAGCAACTAAAAAGTTTCAAACCCGGGGATTCCTGCCGAAAAATGAAACGACGACAAAGTTCCAATCAACTCAGATGACGCCAACAATTACAAGTGGATGCTGTGTGGCGTTCAAGGCACCTCTTCTGAGTGCTGTGTCTTTCATTTTAGGCGCTGTTGTCTCCTTCGAAACTCATTATATTTATGGCTGCTCGTAGGCATCTTCTCAGAATGAAATCGTAAGCACTTGGCACTGAAATCGGTTGATAGTGTGGTTTGCAGCTGGAAGGAAGCAGCATTAATCCAGAGCAAGACTTGGTCCCCATGGGGGCATTTAAATGCTGGCTTGTCTCAGCATGTTACCTATCAGCAACTATCAGTCTTTAGAAAACCACCCTTAGGCAAGCAATCTTAAGCTTTCTGTCAAAGATTATATTACTACTTTATTATGTAAAAAAAAAAGCACAACACTTTGTGTTTCAGTTTTAATGCTGTTGCCAACTCTGATTTTCAACTTGGCTGAGAGAATGCCTCATCAATAATTTGCACTTTTTAATGGTAAACCTTTTTTTTTGTATTCCCAACACGAGTTCTCCAGTGGAAATGACAAAATGGCGTTTTTCTGTTTAACACCCGTAGGTAAATGCATCTGAAAAGTATTTATCATCAGAAACATTATATCCATAAGTGTACACAAAAATAAATTGGTTCTGCATCACTTCGTGGGGCTGTAGAACGTATCAGTAATGGAATATGATTTGCAAAGTCTGCCCCCTTAACTCTTCAATGGAACGTGTGGATTGATATGTGTACGATACAGGGCAGATAATGGATACAATTGAACTCTACGATAATAGCTTGTCCTTTTCAAGATCTTATTTTTTATTTTCTGCTTTGCTTTATTCTCATTTCTTCTTGGCACTTTCTCTATTGAGCAACTGTTGCCAATATGCTGAATAAATGATGCAAAGATAACATCTTGTCTGCTGCTGAATGAAAAAAGGTGGCTTGTGTGAAGCATGCACTTTTCATCCAACTTAACTAGTTACTCTGCCTACAAAGAGAAGACAATGAATTACATACTGAGCTGGAACTTTTACCATTTTGCACATCCTTCTATAAAGAATATTCTATGTTTTATTTCCAAATATGCATATAGTGATATAGGAACATTTTTGTTCAAGTACTTTTTAAGCTGAGTGATTTAAAATGAGAAGGAATGATTAAATAGTAATTGTTCATTTTAAGGTAAAGGAATATACAGTAGTTACTCTTCCTTTTTGACTTAAGATTTTTATATTCTGATCTAATATCCTTGGGCATGGACATTACTGCTTTGATGCTTCTCTTTGGCAGGCAAATATAAAACTGATTCTTCTTTCAATCTTACCATTGAGCTTTTCCTTATGATGGCATTAGTTTGGTAAACATAAACATTGACCTCATTAGGCATGTGTGAAGTGTCAACAGGTGGAGAAAAATACTTTAATAGACACAGATGGTAAAAAAAAATCAGAATGAAGTCT